TTAGATTTTTATATCAATCTGGATAAGCCATCTGTCTCAATTTCTTTGACGATAGAAATTCCATCTTGAAATCATAGTTCAACAAAATCGTTGACCAACATTATAGTCAGTAGTATGTGTGAGAATCCTTTTCTTAGAAATAAATATACTTAATAATGAATAATGGTCGCTTTGTAGTAGGAATTTTCTTAAGTTTGCCAGTATTTTTATTTTGGATTTTTTCTTTTACAACTACTGTTTTTTTCCCAAACCATTTGAATGTCTGTCATGTTATTTTACTTGATATTTACTGTGTCAGACCTTTTAACAAAAATTGGATATTTAAATCTGTCTGGTGATAATTCATGCCATTTAAATTTCTCAAACTCATGGTTGACTTTACCAGCATATGTGACAAAATCTTCACTTTCATCTTGAGTAAGGTTCATACACTGTCAATGTATATAAAACAATGAATTCTTTTCACTACTGATTTTTGATAGCATCAACATTGTTTCATTAGATGACACTTTTTCTAGAGTATTCGGCAAAATGAAATTCCAATATTTTTCATGTCCGTTGAGGCACAATTTTCATAACAGAAGATGTACCTTCTTTTCATCTGACTATTCTTGTTATCCTTCTCTGAAATGTCTTCGTACCTTCTGAAGTATGATGGGAATGTAATGTTTTCTTCTGGGATGTGATGAAATTCTTTAATTGATTTAGTGACTGAGTCTGACAAAAACAAAATTGACACATTATCTGTTCATTGCTTTTCCAGGATTGCTTTTATCTGTTCTTGATATTCAATCCACTCCTGTTGCATTTGTTGTAATAATTGCTGAATAAATATCTTTGGTTCTTCCAAAGTGTATTATGATCATACAAGTCTTCCTTAACTAGGAAGAAAAAAATTGGGTTTTTTTATTATTAATAGCTGTATAACATACCACCTTGAAATCGACTTTTGCATTATGCTATAATTATATACAAACTCCACCAAAAATTTTTTTCCATGAATTTTGAATTTTGTTAACTATTTATAGTTAAGTGAGAGGAAAAAAAATTTTTTTTCATGTGAATTCAAATTTTCGTTGCCGCTGTCATGTCTTCATTGCCTTGAATGAAGATAACACAATCACTAAATCATATGTTGCTTGGAGTCAACATAGTCTTGCTGAAATAGGTAGTAAGCAGATAAACTAAGTCTACTTGTTTACTCCTTCTACTGACAATTCTCGGCATCTATATTTTTGTATTTGGATGAGTCCAAGTCCTCTTCTGAAGAGGTGTGTTCATCTCCACAACAGTAATTTATGTCCTTCAGTGTCTAAATGTAGAAATCACCCATTATCTAATGAGACCTTCCATTTCTACTCTACAGGTATGTCTTCTCACCAAATTTTCAACCTATAGAGTGAAGTAATTCTGAGATTATTAGAAGTCCTACCAGGTTTCATTATTGGTGGCCACAATCTTAACAATGCTAGACATGCAAATGACACAAGTGTAGATAACAGAAAGGAAACTAAAGGAACTCCTACAGAAGATAGTAAAGGAAAGTGAGAAGAAAGGACTAAAGGTTGAATTGTAAGAAGAATGTATGGTTGTCAGCAAAAAGAGGAGCCCAACATGTGAATTACAAACTGAAGGTACTAAAATGAAGCAAGTACAAAAATTTAAATATCTAGGAAGTACTTTAACAGAGGACTTATAGTGCAACACCAAAATCTGAAGGTGCATTGGGATAATGAAATATGCCTTTCAAAAGCTAAGCAAGATATTAAGAAACAAGAAAATCTCATTAGAAGAAAGTACTTAACTGTTATAAAATATCAGGGTCCAGTGTGGTTCAGTGAGGGGGAAAATGTGTTTAAATAAGGTTTTTATATATCTATATGATACATATGATACAGTAAATAGGATTTAGGCATAAGTATTTGAGTAAAGATTGCATTTTACTGACCATCTCATAAAAATACAGATTTTTCATTAAATTCTATAGCAGATGGTGTATCATCTAATTTTTCGTAAAATCACGACATTGAAATTGCTATAACTTTAATTCTAGACAAGCTATTGAGCTGATTTTTTGCACCGATTCAAAAATTTCATCTAGTTTCCATAAAATATAACTTTGTTTGCTTTTTTGATAGCCATTTTAGTCCAAATTACCACCCGGGCAACAGAAATGTGGTTCTACAGAATGATGCTGAAAATAACATGGACTTGAACATGTGAGCAATGACAAAGTTTTAAGGAAAATGGAAACAAAAAAAGACAATGACTTAGAATCAGAAAGAGACAATTGAAATTTCTAGGGTGCATAATGAGGAAAGAGGGTTTGGAAAACTTAACACTTGCAAGTCATGTTGAAGACAAAAGGGATAAAGAAAAGCAGTGCATAACCTACCTCACAAGCTTATGTAATGGTTGGCAGAACAGGGATTAGAAGAGATAGCTAAAAGACATTGCTAACAGTTACAAGAAACAGGAAGCTGGGGAGAAACATGATCACTGGAGTCCCAAAGGTATACATCACATAGATGTTTAGCACTCAAAAGCAGGAGACCCTAGGAGGACTTAAGTGTCTAGACTAGTGACTGGTAAGATGAGTTTGGTTATCAGGTACCCATGTTAAAAAGGGTCGAAATATTAAATAAGGTAATTTGAATGATATTTGGGGTGGGGGGTGAAAAAAACAAAAAAAAAATTCTCAATATATAGAATATTGTTAGACTTCCTTTTTATTTTTGGGTTTAATTTTTTTGTGTACACCCAAGAGCCACTCAAAGTAGAGCATTACCGAGTGAGATAGTTGTAAACGAGGAGAAAACAGGAAGTGAATATTATGAGGATATACATAGGAAAGATATTGGTTGGCCCTGGACTTGAAGAGGTTAATTTTATTTTGTAAATATTTCTTTTCTGTGACACACCCTCCACCACCAAAAGTTGCAAAATCTTTTTCAAAAAGTTTAGAGAAAGGAGATAAATTCTCAAAAGACTAAATCTTTAAGAAACGATAATTAAGTATCACTCATCAAAAGCCAGCATAACACCAACAAATAATATTAAAAAAAAAAATGTGTGTAGAAATGTTTATTCATTAAAAGAAAAAAAATAAACAAATGTGGCAGTAAGTTGGATTGCCAGTGTGAGTTTAGTCACCGTTAATAAAAGCAGACATTAATGTTAGTTTGCAGGAAGTAGTATTAAAGTGTGATTTTTTTATTTATTTATTTTTTCAGATTTTATTTTTTATATTATCAAAAAATATTAGTGAATGTGCTAAATACTAATAAAAACCCCTTAGTCTCAACTCTTGGAAATCCATATTTTCCACCAATCAACACCTATTTCACATAAATGCTTCTTTATTTTCGTATTCTTCAGGAGTGTCCTTTATTTTCGTATTCTTTGGGAGTGTCCTTTATTTTCATATTCTTTGGGAGTGTCCTTTATTTTCGCGTTCTTATCGAGTGTCCTTTATTTTTGCGTTCTTATCGAGTGTCCATTTTTTTTTTTCTGTTTCTCCCACAAACCAAAAATCTTCTTGTGCTTCCAATGGTATAAATTTGATCTGCAAATTTCACTTTTTCTTTTCCTCCCTCTTGATGTGATTATCCCTCCAACACACAAACTCGGTATTCTCCTTCACCTTAAATTACAGTTTATTGAATAACAAGTGCTTGAATTATTTGCAAATATTGCAATCAAATTTGTTTTGTTACGTTTATTTTGTAACAAAAAGAAGGAAATGATTTCTAAAAAGATTCTTATTTTACTCTTTATTATAGGAATCCATTTTTATATTTTCTTTTGTTTGTTTGGCAATAAATTACCAGTAAACAGTTTTTCTATTGCAGTTGGCTCTTGGGCATTTACAGCCTTCAGGCCTATTATTAACAATGATAATGATGATAGCAGTTGATTTTTCAACTGGATATTTTCTGTTTTCTCTTTTTCTTTCCTTTCTGTTCTATTCATTTTCACCTTTGCTTATATATATATATATATATATATATATATATATATATATATATATATATATATATATATTTTGAAAAAACAAACAAAATCCTTAAATGTAGTTAAATGAAATTTCATTTAACTACATTTAAGGATTTTTGTTTGTTTTTTCAAAATTTCTTCATTCTGTCGGATTTATATCCATTTACACTTGCTTATATATATATATATATATGGCTTTCAACTTTCCTTCCCTTTTTCTGTCTTTTTCTCTTTCTCATTCCTTCCTTTGTTATTTCTGTCTGCCCCTTCCACCCACTTTCCATTCTACTGGTTTTTAGGCTTTCATTTTTTTTTTTTTTACTTTCTTTTATGAATTATTTCTCTTTCTTGATTCACACTATTCATGATTTTACATCTTCTTTTTTTCTCCCCTCGTGCTTTTGGTTATTTTTTATTTTTTACTCTCCTCACAATTTTGGTTCTTTTTTTTTTACTCCCCTCACAATTTAATAAATGTACTCCTGAATTGGTTCATATAACAGTGCTGAAAATTTCTTGGCCCAACCAAAAAAAAACTCTTTTCAAAAAAAGTCAGACTTTTCTTGGGAAGAGTTTTTTGGTCTGCCTGAGAACTTTTCAGCTTCCTCCTTTTATGTACACAAGATATTCATTTTCTCCTGCCATTATCATCAATTTTGTTGTTTGAATCTTTGTTTCTGCTGAGAAATGCTTCAGTTTTTCCCAAATGAATCTTAAGATATGTTTTATTGGTAACAGGAATTAAGACTAATGCTTCTACTTTGGAATCAAAAAAATTGTTTAGCTCCATGATATTTGAATGTCCTCAAGCAGTAAATGGGGTGTGGGGTGTTGGTAATCTGACCAGAAGAAATAACTCTCCAAAGATTTAATTGAAAATTCCATTATTTTGCTTTAGCTAATTTAGGCACAGAATCCAAGCACCTAGTGAGGATGTCTGCTGCTTAGATTCATAAATGTTGGTTGGTTCCATGATTTAGTAGACCATCAATAAGAAATCATTCATGGCTTCTTCCTGCCCTTCTTTTCCCCCTCTTCCTGCCCCTTCTTTTCCCCCCTTCCTGCCCCTTTCTTCCCCCCCTTCCTGCCCCTTCCTTCCCCCCTCTTCCTGCCTCTTCCTTCCCCCCTCTTCCTGCCTCCCTCTCTCTCTCTCTGCCCTTTCCTTTCCCTTTCTCTCTTCATGCTCCTTCCCCCCTCTCTTACTCTTTCCTTCTTTTCTCTCACTGTCCCTGCTTTTTCTTCCTCTCTCTCTTGTCCCTGGGATTTTTCTTCCTCTCTCTCTCTTGTCCTTTCTTCCTTCCTGTTTTCTCTCTATCACTTTCTCTGCTTTCTCTCTTCATACCCATGCAGATCTTTTTCCTGTAGGTGTAATATCTTTTACTGTAATAAGTTTTAGCTAAGAAACATCACCCACCTAGCACTTGATATTATAAGACTAATAAATATCAGTAAAATATTTGACCCACAAGTAGAAGATCTGTAATGCTATATTGATTATAAACATGATCTAATATCCAGTAAAAAGAAAAAAAAAGATCTTTATTAAAATAATGAAATATATCAAGTCATGAAAGCATTAAGCAGAAAATATTATTTAGCACATAAGTTGTTTTCTAAAAGATTTTTGTACAACAACAAAATAGATACTGAGGTTTGTTTGGAATTTATTAAATAGTGTGATTTTTTTTTGATTTTTTTTTTTATTGGTTTTTGTATAGCTCTTTGTTTTTTAGAGGTAGCTTTCCCAAGGTAATCCATTTAGTTTCGTTCTTGCTGCTATATAATTTCCAATTTGGATCTATTTTATTTTATAAACTTGTGCACTGACTGTGTATCTTATTGGCATGATGTGCGTCCAAGTATAAATGGACTGGATGCAGAGGAAGGAGGCTGGCTGGAGAAAGAAATGGGAATTATCTCCCCTTTTCTTTCCACTTCAGAATGATTGACATTGAATGATATAAGACTTGAGGGTAAAACCTCTACTTCTGTGAAGGGTTGGAAGGGGAGCCAGATAGGGTGTTGAAAGCTGCCCTTGTCCAGGAGAGCAACAGGCGGTAAAGCTACAGGTTGCTTAGGAAGGAAACTGGGTTTATTGGGGAGACAAAGAAGTTTAGGTCTCCTGCAAGGAGCACTGATGCAGGTTGGTGGGGTTCAGGCAACTGGAGGCCTGCAGGTAATCACCCAACTTTGACTGATTGAAAGATGAGTCAGACCCTCACTTTCTGTTAGGTTTAAACCTTCAAGGCAAGGTGGAACCATCCTACTGGCTGCCCCAAGGGATATAGAAAGGACAAGAGATGTGCAGAACAGAGTGGGGAAGTTATCCATACCAGTGGGTAATCACCCTGCAGAAAATTAGACATTTGCATTGGTAACACAAAAATCAATGGCACATTAGAATAGATGGCACCAATTTCTTTTGACATGACCATATGCCTGGCCTCTTCCCCAAACGTACTGTTGCTGCCCCTGAGGTGAGACTTCTCTATTTTCTCTTTGTTTCTTTCTTTATCATTTGTTTTACTTTACTCTTTCATCCTCTCCTTTTTTTCTACCTTCCTCTCTTTTTTCTACCTTGCTCTCCTTTTTTCTCTCCTTACCCTGCTCTCCTTTTTTTTCTCTCCCTTCCCTGCTCTCCTTTTTCTCTCCTTACCCTGCTCTCCTTTTTTTTTGTTTTACTTTACTCTTTCATCCTCTCCTTTTTTTCTACCTTCCTCTCTTTTTTCTACCTTGCTCTCCTTTTTTCTCTCCTTACCCTGCTCTCCTTTTTTCTCTCCTTACCCTGCTCTCCTTTTTTTCTCTCCTTACCCTGCTCTCCTTTTCTCTCCTTACCCTGCTCTCCTTTTTTCTCTCCTTACCCTTCTCTCCTTACCCTTCTCTCCTTACGTTGCTCTCTTTTTTCTTCTCCCTTACGTTGCTCTCTTTTTTCTTCTCCCTTACGTTGCTCTCTTTTTTCTTCTCCCTTACGTTGCTCTCTTTTTTCTTCTCCCTTACGTTGCTCTCTTTTTTCTTCTCCCTTACCTTGCTCTCTTTTTTCTTCTCCCTTACCTTGCTCTCCTTTTTCTTCTCCTTTTGCTCTCTTTTTTTCTTCTCCCTTACCTTGCTCTCCTTTTTCTTCTCCCTTACCTTGCTCTCCTTTTTCTTCTCCCTTACGTTGCTCTCCTTTTTCTTCTCCCTTACGTTGCTCTCCTTTTTCTTCTCCCTTACGTTGCTCTCCTTTTTCTTCTCCCTTACGTTGCTCTCCTTTTTCTTCTCCCTTACGTTGCTCTCCTTTTCTTCTCCCTTACCTTGCTCTCCTTTTTTCTTCTCCTTACCTTGCTCTCCTTTTTTCTTCTCCCTTACCTTGCTCTCCTTTTTCTCTCCCTTTACCTTGCTCTCCTTTTTCTTCTCCCCTTACCTTGCTCTCCTTTTTCTTCTCCCTTACCTTGCTCTCCTTTTTCTTCTCCCTTACCTTGCTCTCCTTTTTCTTCTCCCTTACCTTGCTCTCCTTTTTCTTCTCCCTTACCTTGCTCTCCTTTTTTCTTCTCCCTTACCTTGCTCTCCTTTTCCCCCTTACCTTGCTCTCCTTTTCCCCCTTACCTTGCTCTCCTTTTTCTTCTTCCTCACCTTGCTCTCCTTTATCTTCTTCCTCACCTTGCTCTCCTTTATCTTCTTCCTCACCTTGCTCTCTTTTTCTTCTTCCTCACCTTGCTCTCTTTTTCTTCTTCCACTTCCTTTTTCTTCTTTTGTTTTCTCTCCTTTTTTCCTAGTTTTCCCTCTTCTTTTCATCCCCTTTTCCTTCCCCCTTGCTCTCTTCTCATCCTCTCTTCATTTTTCTCCCTTTTTTTCTTTTACTATTTTTTGGGCAGAGGAGGGAGAGTAAATATCCTTTGTCTACCTGCTGCAAGAGATTGAGACTTACCTTCCCTCTTACTGACCCTTTCCAATTAGACCTCCATCAGTACAGGTGCTTCTGCTGTGACACCAATCCAGCCTTTTTACCCTTGGGATTTCCTACTCAGATTCACTCCAGAAAATAATCTATTTCTTTCTTTCTTTTTTTTTTACTTCATACATTTGGCAACACTTATTTATTTCCAGTGTTCCTTATTTTGTACTTTTTGGTTGTTTTTTTTTTTTAGCTCTGCTTCTTGGAGACTTAGTTCAATTGTTAGGGAACTAACTAAATACTAGTAGTTATAAGGGCCACATTTTATATCAAAGCTTTTGTCTTTGGTTAAAATAATGAAAATATTGGACTCTCCAGCCTTTCTTAGGTACATACTGCATCTTGGAATCTTTGAAGTTTTTGAGGGTTTTTGAATTTAATTTTGCAATTTTAAAATTTCCTTTGTCAGATAAATCATTTGACCAATTCAAGATTCCTGGATAGGAAAACTAAACAGGCTTAAGATGATCAAAATAACAAAGTTGAGGATGTTAGAAGTATTTATCCAATTTTCTTTATCTTACAGAAGGAAACTTAATTAAATTAGAAATATATCTTTTTAATTTAACAAGGCGAAGTAATGGATAGTGGACTAGAATTAAAAATTGAAGAAGCAAGTTCAAATTCCAGTCAAGTTCATTGCATATTCTTAGGAAATGTATGGATCCATCTCTTCTCTCCCCCCCCCACAAGCTATGGGTAAATAGCAGGACAGACTGGGTTCTATAGCTTTGGGTGCAACCAAACTAGGAGAAGGACAACTTGGAATTCAAAATCTGAGTGTTTCTAACTAAATCAGCTCCATCACCACACCCTAGTCTGAGGAGAAGGGTAAGTGGACCCCCAGCAGCAAAAAAAAAACAAGAATTGTTTAAGGGTGGATGAACTCCTCAGTCAAGTTATCCACCCCAACTATGGGTTAAATAGTGCATAAACATACATACATACATATATATATATATATATAAGAAATTAGTGAATTCTTTTTAGCCAACATTATTTCTTATTACTCTAAATGGTATTTTTTGTGGATAGTCATGTTTGTGCAAAGGGCATATATATATATATATATATATATATATAGGAGGCACAGTGGAGTAATGGATATCGGCTTGGATTGAGGAATCGCAGAGCCGAGTTCAAATCCAGGTTGAATCCATTACATTCACTTATGTGCTAATACCCTCGGGAAAGGTGTGAATCCTTCTTCTCCCTCCAGCTATGGGTAAAATAGCAGGACAGACTGGGTTCTATAGCCATGGATGGCAACTGGTCTAGGAGAAGGACACCTCTGAATTCAAAACCTGAGGGGGGTTGTTTGGGAACCTTGTGGCACGTAGTGCACCAGGTTTCTGTATTCAGCCCTTCAAAAAGTGTGGATGGTCCTGCACGAAACCTTCACCACTATAATCGAATCTCGTGTGCCAGTGTCGGGCTGTCAGTTTCCTGGAAACTGATCTGCTTGACCCTCATACGTCGAACCCGCCGGGAGAATCGATTTTTTTTATATATATATATATATATAACAGAATACAGAGGAAAACTTACACCAGTGTTAAATATGCATAAAAGGAAAATATTGAAAAAATATTAGCAGTAAATTACTGATACCCCCTGAATAGTGGCCAGACATACGATATGCTGGAGTCAGGATGTTGAAGGTAACATCAATCAGCTAAGGACAAACCTTTCACAGTAATCTCATATATATATATATATATATATATATATATATATATATATATATATATATATATATATATAGTCCATATTGGACAGCATACTTAGTATCAGTATGTCTCTATTTGTTTGGTATGCATTACCAATTGTCTTTCTCTCAATGCAGGTCAGTTTCAATGTTTTTAGTCTTGATTTTACAACACAGCCATTTTTTGTTCATATACCTGATTGATTTTTTTCACTTTAATTCTTGTGCAGCCTCATATTTTAGTTTCATTGGTCTACATTTTCTGCAGTGACATGCATTCTTGTTATTTCTACAAAGTTTCATCATAGTATTTGGGAAACTGATCATACTAATATATATGTATGTGTATTTTTTTTTTACACTCACAAGGCTTGGGTTAACCCGTAGTAAGGTTTTTCAGACACTTTCCAAAGGTGCTGCATGCTAAGATCACTTCCCCCCCCTTAAACTGATAAACATCAAGTTGTCACCTTGTTGACAAATTGACCATGATGATATTCAAACCCAGGTCTCTTGGCCAGAAAGTGAATGTTCTAAACATTTGGCCATGTGCCCATATCGGGTTGATGGGACTATTTGGGAGACGTTGTTGGTTGTGCTAGCACAAGTCATCATGACTGAGTGTTTGAGTGTGCTGGCCTTGTTCAAACTGTTGATCACACTAGTTAACACGCTCTCTCCCAAAAACTGTAAGGTCTGCGCAACATAGTTGCAGTATAAATCACAGGTGGGCTGTGTGGGTGTTGTACAAACACAAATGTGCCTGAGCAGGCGTCTGCAACAGATTGACTAGCCACCCTAGTAGATGTGCATCCTCGGATACAAGTGGCTAGCCATTATGTGTGTATGAATTTGAACAAATAATAGAAATTGTTTTTTTAAAAATTAAGGGAATCAGAATAAAAATAGTTTTGACGAAGACTTGAGCCCACAACCCTGACTTTGAAAACTTGTTTTTCATGGATAATATCTTAACTAATTTTACTTTCAAATCTATGTTATGCATATTTTATGACAATTTTTTTTCTTTTTTGTTGCTTTTGTTCAGAGCAATTTAAGCCAATCAGTGGATGAAAATGGCAAAAATAAATGTTTATCAATAAGAAATACCAAAAATATAGAAAACGTGCAAGAAAAAAAATTTAAAAAAATTATGCAACTAGTTCTATATTGTGTTTTAAGCTTCTTTTAGCAATTGGATATTTTGGTTTATCAGCTTCTATCTTTTTAAAAAAAAAATAATAAAAAAAAAATTTCTTGAGAATCATATTCAAAGTTGAGGTATCTGGTAGGCTAATGTTTATTGAGTCATTGTAGATAATCAACACTTGTACTCAACTTAACTGCATAATAATGTAGTAATAAATATTAAATCTAAATTGGTTGTTGAGTGGGGGTGGGCTCTTATATACCATCAAATATGGTGCATTGTGGGAATGATGTGAATGCCATCTGTTCACATCACTTAAACTGCCAACTTGAGAAAAAGATCTACTTTCTGTATGCTCCTTTAATGAAGGAAAGTAAATTGTCCTTATGAGGAGTCTTAGAAATACATGAGTTCAATCATTAAAAGAAACACTTGTTTTAAAATGCATTGCAGAGTATAATTAGAAAACAAAGGTACTGAATGATAATAAGCAAAAAAATACTAATAATCATGCAAGACTAATCAGTCTTGTGAACTGAAAAACAATTTTGAAAAATGGCTACTTTTTTCAAAAGCAGATTTCTTACATATTCTATGGATTATCTTGTGGCTGAGATAATTATGTGTCCCTCTAATGTCAATACTCAGTGATCAATCCCAGGTAAAAAAAAAAAAAAAAAAAAGAAGCTGCCAAAGTTCTCTTTGGGAAATTGATGCAACACAATATTTGTTATTTTCATTACACAAGTTTATTTCTATTTTGACTGGCTAAGATAAATGTAGTTAATATTGATCACCAACCCATTTTCCTCAAATTTGGTATGCTAATATGTACCATTTAATTTATCACCTATCTTACTAACTTCATTTTAAAGACCTTTTCTCTTATTTTTTGTTAATGATTAGAGGTATTTGTATATTATCACCTTTTTCTTTCTCATAAAAAATGATTTATCTTAATTTGATCTATTCAGACATCTCAAAATAAAACCCATACCTTTTCTCTCTCACCCATATATCTTTTTTTTATATATACCATGTCCTTTCAGGATGTAGGCAATCATGGCACTCCATTTCCACCTATCCCTTGTAGCTCTCAGTAAGTTTCATCCCCCTGCTACCTCTGCCAGACCATGTTCTATCATCCTCTTGCTTAAGCCTGCCAGGTATGTCATGTATTGATTTCCCTTGTCTCTCTTTCCCTCTATTTGACCTATGAGTATCAGATTCTCCAGGCCCTCTTTTCTTACTACATGTCCCAGAAACTTCATTTGCCTCTTCCTGATGTTAAGTATAACTCTCCTCGTCATTTGCATCTTCTCCAAGACTTCATTGTTGTTCACATGCTCGGTCCATGATATCCTCAGCATTCTTTTGTAAAACAACATCTCTGTCACCTCGAGTCTCTTCTTCATCTTTGAGGAAACTGTCCAACATTCATTGTCGTAAATGAGGACAGATGTCACATAACAGCTCAGTAATTGTTTCTTTGTTACCAAAGAGATCTCACAATACTTTGCCAAGCTTTTGAAATGCGTCCTTGACCATCCCAATACGTCTATGGATCTCAGTGTCACACTTACTGTCCTATGTCAAAATACTTCCCAGATATTTAAACTTCTGCACCTGCTTGATTTTAGTGTCCCAGATATGCAAATTGCGTTTTGGGCTCATCTCCATATATGCATTTCAGAATAAGACATATATGTGTTTCCATCTTTCTACCTCACCAATATTCAAAGACTATTCATGGGGGATATGTCCAAGAAATATTTTTAGTAGGGATTTGGAGCCCAAAATTATTGAAATACAATAAAACTATAAAAATGACAATTTGTAAGTGGTTTTATTTTATTCTCTGTTTTCATTCAAGTTCAAAGTAGAGCATAATTACATGGATACATATTTGACATTAGAATATTAGAGAAATTCTTATATTTTCTTCCTTAACCAAAGTGTTTGTTTCCAATAATGTGTCATCTTTCTTTCTTTTTTCTCAACTGTTTTATCAATGGTTAACATATTCTCATTTCCTTATAAACCTTTTGGGCCTGTTCACAAGCAACAGTAGGCATG